AAAAAAAAAGGAAAACATACATGATATATATAAGCTGTATGCGATAACTATGCGATAAAAAACAGAGAAAAGAAAAGCATATAAAAAATAGGTGAACCGCATTAAAAGATAGATATGTCAGAATATATATCTAGTTATGTTAGATGCCGAACATAACAAATTCTAATAATAAAAGATAATATTCAATCTGAAAACAAGTGAGGCTGAGCCTCAAGGGCTGAAAACTAAGTGAGGCTTAAGCCTCTTGAGCCTCCACACTCCGCCGCCACTGGAAGGATTTGTCACAAAACTAAAAAAGCATTGTAGAGTTGTTGTCTAACGAGAGAGAGAATTAGTGCCTCGTGAAGGAATAAGACTACTACTATGGATGGATCAATTCTCTCGAATTAGTTTTTGATTTCAGATTGAAAGACATAGCTGTGTATCACAATGTAGATTTATCTTGAAGACAACAAAATTGACAAGTATCATTGTTTATCGATCAGAATCAATCTGTAACAATTGTTTCATTCAAAAATGAAAACTTCCATTGATTAACCTCTATCTTGTCGTTAAATAATTGGGAGTAAATCTTTAATGAAGCTAATGAATTTGATACTCTTTGTGAATACATCTTTAGTGTTTTTCTCTGATTTATAGCCCTTCTGAGGGGTACTTTTGATACCTTTCATTTTCTATAGTTATAAAAAATTTGATGTTTTACAAAGTCAGATATTTCAAACGACTTCAATTTAAAAGAATCGAAAAGTGGAATCATTTTCTCAAGTAATTTTTAAGTGATCGAAAAAACATTTTTTTAACCTTTTTATTGTATTTCAACTCAAAATAGCTACATGAAATCCCTATGATAATCAACAAGAGAGGGATATGTGTGTATGTGTATCTTCTTTCAGTCATACATTCGCACCCACATTCGATTAAATTCAAACACTCTGTTGTTCTTTTAACTTTTGCATTTTCCTACTACATGTGATTTTAAGCGATAAAGAGATACCTAATGTAAAACCTACACCACTAAAAACGAAGTGTAATAAACAAACTCTCAAACACTTGTTAGCTTGATATTTATAGTAAATTGATATACATACGACGCGTGACTTCTCATACAAATCTTTGGATATACTCGCTCGAGCTAAACAACAATTATCTTTTTTATCTAGGTTTATTATACTGATTAGAAATGGAATTAAGAAAAAAGATTTCATATAAAACTATAAGGTATTTTAATTAAATTTAATTGATGGATGTGATTGACGGTATGTATCATTTTACATTAATCATATATTCATTTTATTTATTTAGTAGATATGATTCGAGGCAGGTATAATTTTATATATTTTAAATAATTTTTTTTTATTTTGAATTATTTGGCCACAAAAACAAGGGTAAATGACATCATATACGATGGTTTATTGTTATTGTAATGTTCTTCATGGGTATCGGATTAAAAATAACACTATGATGAGAATATTTGACATAAGAAAAGTTAGGAGTGTAGCACAGTTATACCTTATCACGCTCACATGTAAAATTTATTATATAAAGATAAGAGTGTAGCTATACTTTTTACGCTGGCAATAATATGACTTATCTTTTGTTATTCTTCTGAAAGTGACAAGCAACTATAGAGCAGCTTTGAAGAATAACTCGTTCGTCATTTAATTTAAGTTTCTTCTAGAACATCATATGTATACGAATCAGGCATACATCGAGCAAATCTCTAGAAAGAAAGGATTAACCAAATGGTGGAATCATCATCGAATTAAGATCATTCGCATCTCTTTCATCGTTGTAACAATTTGTATAATTACTCTTTCATTATTATTAAAATTCGTCATTCTTGCTCCAAAGAAGCCAGATGACATCATCACCACCGCAACGTCTTCAATAACAACACCAATATCACCATCAACAACAACAACATCGACCACAACTACTACAACATCAACAGCAATAACTACGACTACAACTACAACAACATCAATATCAACAACAATCACTACAACTCCGCAATCAGGTAAATTTTAGAGTAACGCTTTTTAATCTTGCACAATGCTAATTTTGAATCTAGCATGAGGTAGGATGAATATAGATACAGACGAAGTGTCAAATTATAGGTTTCTCAGGGCGATTTTTGTGATTATGAGAATACATGCATTCAGGTAGATATTAGTACTGAAGATTTTTGTACAAGTTCTATTTTTATCAGGGCATCTCTTTATCTGAACATCATCCCTGGCTATAGAAATTGGTGAAAAACTAAGACAGGAATTCTTATCGTATCTGACCACGATAAATATTCAGAAACTTCAAAGGGGTAAGAAGTTGTGTGAAATGAACATTTTATTAGCTCATGTAAATCATAGAACGACACGTAGAAAATACAAACTCAATTTTTCTCTTATTCTTTTACGCGGTCCTTTATCAACCATTTGAAACCTATTCTCGTATCGTATCATCAACTATTTCTTACAAAACATTTTAAAATAATATATTCAAATAATTTTGTCTAGTATGGTATAATACTCGTAGTATGAATAATGCACGATATCAACATATATCATGTGTATTAATGAATGGAAAAGTGTTAGTTATCAGCGGTGAATCAGACTATGGCGGTTTTGTAAATAATAGTGAATTGTATGATCCACTGACTGAAACTTGGACAACTACTGGTAAAATGAATGATGCCCGACGTGAACACACAGCATCCATATTAACGGATGGAAAAGTGTTAGTTGCTGGTGGATACAATGGTAACCGTCTAACTAGTGCTGAATTATATGATTTATCTACTGAAACTTGGTTAGCCGTTGGTAATATGAATTATGCACGATCTGATCATACAGCAGTTACATTACCAAATGGAAAAGTATTAGTCACTGGTGGATATGGTAATACTTATTTAAATAGTTCTGAGTTATATGACCCATCGAGTGAGACTTGGACAATTACTGGTGAGATGAAGTATTCACGAGAACACCATACAGTATCTTTACTATCAAATGGAAAAGTGTTAGCCACTGGCGGGTATGGTGGAATTTATTTGTTTGGTAACAGTTATTTAGACAGTACTGAATTATATGATCCGTCGACAGGAAATTGGACAACTACGGGTAAAATGAATTATGTACGATATGAACATAGAGCATCTTTGTTACCAGATGGAAGAGTATTAGTTACTGGTGGACGAATCGGTAATGACAAACTAAAGAGTGCTGAGTTGTATGATCCTTTGACAGAAATGTGGACTGTTACAGGTAATATGAATTGTGGACGAAGTTTGCATACAGCAACCGTTTTAACAAATGGAAAAGTATTAGTTACTGGTAGCTGTGGTGACAGTCCTGATAAAAGTGTTGAATTATACGATCCATTAACAGGAATTTGGACAATTATGAGTAACATGAATCATGCACGAGAACATCATCGAGCATCTTTATTATCAAATGGGAAAGTATTGGTTACTGGTGGACTAGATCATAATGCTCTAAATAGTGCTGAATTGTATGAACCATTAAGAGAAGCTTGGATATTAACTAGTAGTATGAATAGTGCACGAGAACAACATACAGCATCCATACTAACAGATGGAAAAGTATTAATTGTTGGCGGAGTTCATGATACTACTCAAGATAGTGCTGAATTGTATGATCCATCAAGAAGAACTTGGGAAATTACTAGTAGTATGAACGATGCACGACATGGATATACAGCAACCGTATTAACAAACGGAAAAGTTTTAGTTGCTGGTGGTTACAATGATCGTGGTTATCTAAATAGTTCTGAGTTGTATAATCCATCAACAGGAATTTGGACAACTACTGGTAGTATGAATGATGCATGAGCTGATCATACAGCCTCTTTATTAACAAATGGAAAAGTTTTAGTTGCTGGTGGACTTCATGGTGATATTCTAAATAGTGCCGAATTATATGATCCATCAACAGAAACTTGGACAACTACTGGAAATATGACTAATGCACGAGATGGACACTCAGCATCAATATTAGCAAATGAAAAAGTATTAGTTACTGATGGACATGGTGGTGATGCTCGAAACAGTGCTGAATTGTATGATCCATCAACAGGAATTTGGACAAGCGTGGGTAACATGAGTGACGGACGACCGTGGCACACATCATCCGTATTAACAAACGGAAAGGTATTAGTTACTGGTGGATATCATGATAATATATATGTAAATAGTTCTGAGTTATATGATCCATTAACAGGACTTTGGATAATTACTGGTAGCATGAATAATCTACGATATGGTCACACAGCAACCCTATTAATAAATGGAAAAATATTAGTTACTGGCGGAGCATCACGCATCAGTCATTTTCTACATAGCAGCGAATTGTATGACCCATCATCAGGAATTTGGACAATCAACGATCAGATGAATGAAGGACGGCAGTGGCATACAGCATCGCTGTTAACAGATGGAAAAGTATTAGTTACTGGTGGATATGGTGCAACTGGTTATCTAAATAGCGCTGAACTGTATGATCCATTTACAAATACTTGGAAAAGTACTAATAAAATAAATAATATATTAGTAGCTGATAGAGATAATGGTACATATCTACATTAAAGTTGAAACAGACTAACAATAAAAAAGACTTTAGAATTTTGATGCTTTTGATCTTCTCGTGAAGTAATATTGGTGTTACACAGCTTTATTCTATCCATAGATTTTTGAGTCCATGTATTTCTGAAAATTTTATTTACAGAAGGAACTTATTTGTGTCTATTACAACGGCGTGCATGTGAGTGAGGATATTCAACTTCTCTTAATCCACATTCACGTAGGTAAAAGTATCGGATATATAATCTAAAAACCTAACAGTAAAGTAGAACAAGAATAGCAAATACATCTAAACAACTTTACAACATGTGTATATCACATAAGTGATGACTTGCCTATGAAGTCGCTTAAGTTTTGCACAATGGAAATAATAGTCAGCAGTGTATTATGAGACGGTAATGAAATGAAGTAGATGAAACTGATCGAATTACTTATTAATGACAAGGAATTCCCCGTGAGAAGCATAAACTGCTTGAGATCGTTTTAAAGCAGTAAAAAAGAACAACGAAGACTAAAATAGACCACATCTCTTGTTTGAATAGTGGAAACCAAAGAATGAACAGCCATCTAATGACTGGTCAGTGTTCTTCTTTTGTCAAAATGATTTCAAAAGAAAAAAAACGAGAAAATAGAATAATCAATTAAGTATCAATCGATCGTTTGTTTTCTTACATTGATATACCTTTAAAGACGTCTTGCTTACGGGCCATAGATATAAATCGACAGCGGGGTGTGGTTGAACAAAAAACTTGTACGAATACTCACACTCACCTTCAAGATGACAGAGATATTTATTGCGTGTTGTCAAATAGCATCAGTTAGTTGGGAAGAATTATTTACCTGAAGAAAAAGTAAAAGTAAATTGATACCTCTAATCATAATTACAAGTTGGCTTTTTTCGTTTCTGTTCTTCTTTTGCCATTCCACGGCTTGCACAAGCATTTTTCTGTGCATCTCACATAAACTTCTCCTGGTAACCCTCATATAGATCTCTTGTCTTTCTTTTTCGTTCTGTTGCGCCACGGAATAAGCAAATATGCAAAATTCTCTTTCAATATGAAACCTATCAGAGTGACAGAAAGAAAGAAGTGAGTAATGAGTGAATAGGTGACTGTGATTTCATCCGTCTCTGATGTTGATATCATATATGCAAATATGTAAAGGAAAGAAAAGAAAAAAGTAGGTTTTTTCCATTTTTTACTCATTGTACATGATTATTACTCATCGGAGTCAATATATATGTAAGAAAAAAGCTCAACCATATTCTACTTTCAGTTTTTCTCTTGATATATTCAACTGGATTTTTACCAAAAAACATCCTGTCTGGGTCATACGTTGAAATATTAACAACTTTATTCGGTATTTATTACATTCAAAAGTATAACATGCTTTGGCTTCTCATATCGTTCATCTTGGGAATCGTTTCACATATAATTTACAGTAAAATTAAAACGTCAACACAAGTATCAACAGATATTCCTCAATATGATCATGCCATTATTATTGGAGGTAGTATTAGTGGAATGGTAACTGCTGCTTACTTAACAAAATATTTCTCTCGAATCACAATTATTGAATCAGATGATGTATTAAATGATGAATTAATGAATTTTACACCTGAAGAATTACTAAATTATCGTTGTCGTGATAAAAGTCCATCATCACTAGGACGATCAGGTGTTCCTCAAATCTATCAGATCCATCTAATGGCAGCTGGAGGACAACTTATATTGCGTGAATTATTTCCTCAACTTGAACACAAATTAATAAATAAATACAATGTTCGTTCTTATTCACTAAAAAATGAATCAAGACTCGTTATTAATGATGTGTTACTAAATCAAAATTTAACCGAAGACTTTAAATGGTTAGGTATTGATCGTTTTACGCTAGAAATAGAAATTAGAAAGGAATTATGTTTACAGTATGGACATCAAATTCAATGGATATGTAATGCAAAAGTTACACAACTCATTGTTGATCAATCGTTAAATACTGTCAATGGTGTTAAATATCGTTCGAAACAAAATATTGATACACCAACAGTAGATCTGTATGCCGATTTCATTATTGATTGTAGTGGTCGAAATTCCTCATCAATGAAATGGTTAAAAGACGATTTGAATTTAATTATTCCAACTGAACAAATACATTTTGGTTGTGGTTACACTACATTTATTGGTGAAAGAATGAAGACCGGAGATTCATTATTAGATTCAAAGCATATTATTGGTTGTACAGCTAATAGTCCTGAAAAAAATAATGGTTGGTTTATAATTCCAATACGTACAATAAAAACAACAAATGAAAATTCATTAGGTACAATATCAACAATTGCAATAAATTCCAATAATTCAGAATATCCACCAATTGATTCCTTTGCAAATCTATTAGAATGGGTAAAAGATAATCTACATTCAGACTTTTATACGATTTTAAAATCAACAAAAGTACATGGCCCATTGGCTACATATAATGGTCCAATTGATTATCGAAAATACGTTGAAGTATTAGAAAAAAAATGGCCTGAAAATTTTGTATTATTAGGGGATGCAATGTGCACAGTTAATCCTCAATTCGGTCAAGGTATGACACATGCATGTAGACAAGCAAAGAGAATTAGGAAAAATATTTGCAGAAAATCGTTATAAATTAAATGATATTTCTCATATTTATAATAATCGTGCTTCAGCAATTAGTGAAGAATGTTGGCTTGCTTCGACTGCAAGTGATTGGAAAACATCAACATTAAAAGTGATCAAAACTGATGAAAATGGTGAGACGACAACATATCAACGAAATAGAATTTTTACGGCAACTGAAGATCATCAATTAAAAGCGCCTTTTCTGTTTAAGATTATGCAATGGTATACGTTTTGGTTTCTACAATGCGCAGCAAAATCTGGAGAATTTACTACAGAATTTCAACATGTTATGAATCAATGTAGTAGTCCATTTCGATTATTCAAACCATTAACAATCTTAGCTGTCTTTCATACTGCTTTAATGTATTACCTCGGTTTCTCGAAGAAAATATTTTTTTTTGAATCTGATTTTTAATATTTATACTGGAACTTTGTTTTTATTCATTGATAATTTATGTATTTTTTTATTTCATAATTCAGATACTACGACATTAAATATATTGAGTCTGTTCGGACAATTCGATGAATATTCACGCAAACACCTTTTCTGTTTGTATCTCAATCGAAGCAGAAAATTTAATTGTAATTATTAAAATACAATATCAAATCAAAATAAACAAAACTATTTTCACAAAAAAATTGAATTATTCATTTCAGCATTAATCTCACTAAATTTAATCCAAATCAATATCAAATTTTTGTATTCGATGATTCCAATAATCAACAACATAGAGATTACCTTGAACATCAAATGATAAATCTTTGGGACAGTTCAACTGATTTGGTTCATCTCCACATTCATTTCCACCAACGACAATACTACCTTCCTTAGATCCTTCACACCAGCGCATTATTCGATGATTGTTTTTGTCAGTCACATAAATATTACCCAAATGATCAACAATCATTCCCGTAGGACACGACAATTGTGTTGAACTGTTTCCTTTACGTTTTCCACCAGCAACTACGATACCTTCTTTTGCACCTTTCATCCATTTCATCACACGGTGATTCTCTGTGTCCGACACATAAATTGAATAATCTTCATCAACGAAGATATGAGTAGGGTAATGGAGTTGATTGAGATGATTTCCTTTTCCATTCCCACCTGCTACTATTGTTCCTTTTCTCTCTCCTTGTTTCCATCGTCTCACTTCATTCGTCCTCCAATCGGACACATAAAGATTTCCATTCTTATCCATTGTTAGACCTCGGCAATCAATGTCAGAAATGATTGTTTCTCCATTTGTACCATTTCGTCCAGACCATCTTACCACTCGACTATTCCCATAATCACAAATAATGAGAGAACCATTCTTTTTCTCAACAATTACATCTGTTGGACATTTCAATTGATCACTTCCATTTCCCTTTCCACTTCCGCCAGCAATAACTTGACCATGATTTGCTCCATATTTCCATTCAACAATGCGATCATTCCCAAAATCGGCAATATAAATAGTTTGATGATCATCATCAATATAGATACCTTGAGGATGAGGCAGTTGATTTAATTTATTGCCATATCCATTTCCTCCAGCAATAGTAATTCCATGTTGTTTCCATTTTGTATTGTTATTAATGGGATTGACAGTTAATTGAGGTGGCTTTTTGAATGCGAATAGTGTTTGACGAATAAATTTACTAAGAGAATCGTTTGTTTTATTAACACTAACATTGGTAGCTAATGGATTTTTGTCTTTGAATGTAAGTAGTTTTTGACGCCATTTCATACTCATATCATAATCACCTCTTTGTGATGCGAGTTTACCAAGATCTTCATATAAACTAATATGTAATGGATCATTCGATGGAAGTTGTTGCAACGAACGAGTAAAATATTTTTCAGCTAAATCAAATTTACCCATTTCCCATAATACATTTCCTAATATTCGAAGATTCATTTCACTACCTTCGATTTGCTGTTTCATATACATAAGAATTTGTTTTAAATCATGTTCATCATCATTACATAAAGTCATTTTAATGATCCATATGTTATTATTATCGAGACTGATGCTGTTAAGACGAAAAATAGAACCAATCATAAAGAGAACTTCTGATTCATCTGGAAAATAACTATGTTTACTAATATTAGCAAACGGTTTTGCATTGACTATGTTAGGATCAGCATCAATTTCAAATAAAACTCGTTCTGAATCAATCTTTGTAGTTATATCACCTAGAAGGAATAGAGCTGTTCGACGTTGTTTACTAGTAGAAAACATTGAATTTATAGAAATGAACTGGCCAATATTCTTTTTAAGACCATCTAACTCATCGATCGACATTAGTTGACTTCGATAAACTTTTAAAGAACGCTTAGATTGAGATTTTTGCAATTGACGATAGATATCACAAATAAATGCACGAAATAAAAATATCATATGAATATTTTGTGTACGTAAAGCTGCATTAAGAGTTTTATAAAAGAATGTTTCTTTTGTATACCACCATAACACTTTGTCAGGTGAATAATTTTGTTCAAATTCATAAAGATTGTTAAGTTCAGTCTGATTCCCTTTATATTCATTTCGACAACAATTAATAAGTTCATTTTTGTCTATTTCAATTGATTTTAATCGTAGAAGACAATCAATAAGAATTTGGGAAAAAACAAATTGTCCATTAACTCTTAATATTGATTTTCCTGCATCAAGATTTGTTGAGAAAATATTGATTGATAATGGTTCTTCTATCTTTTTTTGAATATTATAATCTGTTGTAATTTGAGAAACAAGTTCATCAAGATCAACAACAACAGATTTTATCTATAGAAAAAAAAAATAAAATGAAATAATATAGTCTTTGAGCATAGTTTTACTTTTGCAAATTTGTAAGCCCATTGTTCATTATTCTTCTTATCCATACAATACACATAAATTGATATCACTTGTCGAAGTTTATAAATGGAAGGTACTATTTCTCGTCCCAATCGGCTACTAACAATAAGTATTAATCTATCTTTTTGTGATGTTTGTTCAATATATTGTTGACATTGTTTGACATCTTGAAATTTCTTGATATGATTAATAATAGAACGTAATTTAATTTCTGTGTTTCGAGTGTCTTTAATGTTTACATTTGCATCGAGCCAAATAAGAGAGAACATTTCAAGAGCCTTGTCATCGGTGTTTGTGTAGAAATCATTATTCGGTAGAACATCAGTGGCCATGTTAATTCAAGAAACTAAAAATAGTATAGAGTTCTTAGATGTTATCTATTCGATCTATATATAATTATTGAGTAAATTCTGCGTTTTTACAGTCCAAAAAAAGTAGATGATATTTTCTCTATTATTGCTTCATTTATTTATCGTATTTTCGTGACAGTTTTTTCAAACTTTAATGTCAATCAAAAGAATGATATGTTATAATTAATTAATGAAATGGGACTAGGTATGGGTGTGGATTTTGTATTAATCATACAACCACACCCACGCCCTTCTGTAAATAACATGAAATTATGATTGAATAACATTAACCTACCTTAGAAGACGAAGCGAGGATCAACAAGGTATTTAAAAAGAATTGGTTAAGAAGATGAAAAATGAGTGGATTAAGTAAAAAGAAATCTTTTATATGCGAGATGCTTATCTCTGTTCTTTGTATTCGTATGTCTTTGCACAAAAGAATTCTTGTCTGTCTCGTTTCGTCTAGTTCTTATCAACTCATTAAAGAATTTATTACGGACAAATAAAAGCTGTTAAGAAATAAATCGGTTTTGATGAAAATAGTAAGTTGAAGAAAGAAGCACAAATATATCGAGAAAGGTATTGAATCAGTCGTAAAAATATCACGTATACGAAGTGAATTATTCATTGATGTCTAGAAACAAACTACGTAGAAGAATAAATAGCTTTGAAAAGAAACAATTAACAAATCGAATAAGACATTTTGTGAACAACTTATAGCGTTTCTGTTTTCAGGAAGAGATCCAACATTTACTGTGGAATTCAAATTTGATTTTCAATACTTTGTCTAAAATTGTTTCAGTAAAATCACTATCGATAGCAATTGATTTCTAAAAGATTACATTTCATATATAGAATTCCTATAAGTTTTTCTAAATTTTACCTTGTGCATTATAATTCTTACATGATAAATAGAAATAATTATATCACCAAAAAAAAATATATTTATTCATATTCATTAAAAGAGTAAAAAGGAAAAGATAATCATTATCTAATCGAAAACAAAATAAAAAAAGAATTTATGCATATGAATATTAGTCAATGAGTTTATTTGCCTTGACAGTAGTTATGAATAAAATTAGAATGTATAAAGAAAAATAAAATCAATGATTCAAGGCTATATATATATATATATATTTCAAAAGTTATGTAAATTCGTAATGATATTCTTTGTTGACACTTCTACCCTTTCGATCTGCTTGATATTGCATAATCTCTGGCAGCGAGTCCCAGAAAATAGATTGCATCTGGTAACTTATTCGAGAATACTTTCATTTCGTATTTATGTTTCCAAATCAGTGAGATAAGTTTCTTTTCAGTAGAAGCCAAAACCGTATTATCAGCTTCATCAAGAAAAGAAAATTTCCAGTTTAGAAAGGAATATACCACATTTACACGTTGTCCATTCCACTCGATTATGTAAGTGCCACGAAAATCTTCTTGAATTGTTCCATTTATCCATTGATTGGAATTCTGATCCAAAATAGAGATTATTCCACTATAGAGAAGTAGTTTAAATTTTTGTTGTAGCTTAGCGATGGGTTGTTTCGATGGGTAAACAACGAGTTCAGCATTTTGTAGGAGACCATATCGAGATTCGATGCGATATTGTGGTTGTTTCTTCGATGGATCTAGAATTGTAAATTCATTAGCTTTCGCTCCCCGAAAGAAGTCTCTTTTGATAACATAAGATCGAGTTGTCGCCAATGGATTAATAGAATCGAGTATGGTAATTGGCAGTAATAGAACGAAAACATAAATCAACATTGTATTCTATATCACTATAATCGATAAACGTTTGCGTATGCGCTTGTGAACAATAAATCGAAGCAATTTATATATTCGTTCTTCTCTTATTAATTCTCGAGCACATACTAATAATTGATCGTTAATTGATGCTCGATGCAAAAGAAAACAAAATACTTGAAGGAATGAAAGAACTCAGCTTCAAGCATAGAAATCAACTTCAATTAAAATTAACGATAGGATTTGTGTTATAGATGATAATACGGGAGTTGAAAATTTTCTGATACCAAAAACAAAACAACTATTTATAACGACGAGTGTGGGTAAAGAAAAGATTAGTTCTCACTCAAACCCAGCTTCGATGTTGATGGTAATTACTGATGTTTATTCTTCTTATGGTAAAAGAACTTTCCAATCTATTAGACAGTAGAACAAATAACAATAACAATCATAAAATTTCGTAAAAGATATTTTATTATATTTGATATAAATACATTTGTAAGGTAAATATATAAATGAATAAAATCGAAACTCTCTTGTATTTATGAATTTGTTGCTGTTGATGAATTCGTATGATGCAAATTTGTTGACCATAAAACACGAAGATGAGGAGAAAAGTATGATTGTACAATACTGACACCCATAAAACATAATACAAATGTTAACCAGATAAAATGATTTTCCCACCATTCATTATAACCTAATAAATAATAGACAATAGCTGCGGTACAAGCAGGCATACCAAATATAATTATAAAAATAAGCAACCATAGAATACGTCTTATAACAATCAAATCACGTTTAATTCTTGTTCTTTGTCGAACATTGAACAATGCAGAATTACAACGTATATAATGTAATGTATATCCATATATAAATATTGTAAATGAAATTGGTAAAAGCCAAACGAGAAGAGCTGCAAACATCATTCCACGATAATTTGTAAATTGAATTTGACAATGAAAATCTTCATATTGATATTCACCGTTGACAATAAGTGGTAACGGTTGAAGAATACTTAGAACTATTTGAATTAATATACCAAAAATATATAAATAAATATTATGATAAAAATAACGACGTGTATAATAAATAATTCGAAAAAAACGATAAAGAGCTTGAAATGTATTTGAATAAAGTGAACTAATAAGTGCAACATTCGATAGATAAGCTTTTAAACGACATTGAAATGTATTAGAATTTCTATTAGATGCATTTGAATTAATATGATTTCTAATCATTGAAATAAACATATCAAGAAAAAAAAGAGCAAATACAAGTGTGCTCATATACATATTAAAACTAAGAAGAAATACGATTTTCTCTCGAGATTTTATTGATTGATGACGAATTAAAATTAATAGAAGAAATATTAATATTTTAAAAATAAGTATAAGACAAAAAACAATGTTAATAGAGTCGAGAATAATGTGCGAGATATATGATTTACCAGATGATGATGTAGCATTCATTGAAGTCGTATTTTAGATGTTCATTTCACACAGTTAAAGTAATAAGTGTTATATATATGGCATCGAGGAAACAATATATGCACTATGATTGACAACCACAAATAGCTTCAGAGAATTTATTTCTGCTTTTTATCATCGAAAGTAATATCTGAAAATGTTTTCTCAAGAAAAGAAAGAAAAATATTTTATAAGGAAGAAACAATTTTATGTTCGTTCTTTGTTCTGTAATACAACTGGCATTTGATTATGACAGAATATACTGAAAGACTCGCTTAATGATTAATTATGTTCCACATTCAGAAGAATGTAAATGTCTGTATTACATATATTCATTAAGAATGTGGGTGTGAGTGATGAATAATGTAATCATCTTCCATCTACCCACACCGGCCCATCTTGATTGGAAGTTTTATGAATCACATTCATTTGCACTCACTGTTGGTGATATTAATAATGATAATTTAACTGATATTATTGTCACTAATAATGGATTTGAAAATATTGATATTCTTATGAAGACTTGTTAATATAACATTTTTAATTTATACTAGTGAAAGAACTCATACCGGATTACTCAAAAAGTACTCATAATAGAAAATGTCACGAGAACTCATTAGTACTTATGATGTTTGAGTACTCGTATGTTGTATCTGTCATACACATTAAGTGTTCGAGTACTAGTAGGGAGTACTTATGTAAAACTGCTGAGTATTTGAGTATTATAAGGATCTACTCGTTTCTAATTTTACGAGTACTCTATTGGTTCAATTCGTATACGACAATATTTGTATTACTTTTTAATCTATTGATATACTCTGGTTTTTGATCATGTAACAATAACAAGGTGAACATAAAAAAGAACATAAGTAATAGAAACAAGATAAAATATGATAGAATATTCAATATGAAAAAACAATAGATAAAAAATCTTGTCTAATTATATAAAAAATTAAATTATCTCTACATCTAAAATAAATGAAAGACTAGATAAAAGCATTAAAAACGTGATTATAGGCAAACGATACTAGCGAGAATGATATTATTTCGATATACGACTATTGTATATATTCTATATACATGAACACAAGTCATGTTGCTTTTTTTTATTTTTAATTAATGAATAAAACGGTTTCTTTGAAAAAATATCTAAACATATGGAAAACAACTTCAATTTCTTCTATAGAATACAAACGTTTATTTGAAGAGAAAAAAATAAACACATGAAAATTAATATCCAATTGTCTGTTCTTTTTTCTCTCCTGGAAACAATAGTCGTTTTGCCGTCTGATAATATTGAATAAAAAGGAACAGATAAAATACGTTTTCATATCTAATTATATTGTGCAAACTTTACTTTCATATTATTTTATTTTTTTATATTTCATATTTGAAAATGCATAACTGTTTTATTGAGTTATTTTCCAAAAAAATATAAGAGTACTCATACCAGTACCTGCGAGTAAAGTTAAACAAGCAACAACTAGATCAGTACGACTACGAATACTCAATCAGTAAGAATACTCGTGAATTTTCGCGAGTACTCAAGCTGGCAAGTCGTACTCGCTTGAGGAGTAATTTCACTAAGGATATAATTCAACCGATATTATTGTCACTAATAATGGATATGGAAATATTGATATTCTTATTATACGTTCTCAATACTAACTAACTAACTTTTTTTCTTTATAATTTACTTTTGTAATATATCTTAAAATTGAATTTTACATGTTCTCAATAACTGTATATATATTTTTCAAGGCGGCATTACATAGATTAAAAAATTGAGAGAAATACATCTCATTAAATATAATTCGAGCACTTAATAGTTGAGAATTAGTCTATTAAAATAAAGGGCGTTTTATCTTTAAAAATAAAATAGAATTATTAATACTTAGAGTTTTTTATATTTTTACTTTTGAGTAATTACGTGCTTCCTAACGTATTTAGTCATGTGCTGAAACTAAAAATAACAAAAATATTCCTAGACAAGTGAAATTTCTTATTATACGATGTCCAATCGGTATTTATATAGAGTTATCGATCGGTGACTCACTCTCAATGTTTACACTTCAACAACAAAAAAAAATGAAAATATCTTTGATATGATACCCTTGAGATTCTTCACTTCTAATAGATGAAGATTGTCACATAATATTAATAATACATGTTTTAGAGTAATTACAAAATAAGTATACAAAACTGTCAATTCTGTATATGGCTTGATTTCCTATATTTTAAGCATATTGAGAAAAAAAACGAATATGACTTTTTATTTAAATGTATCTAAAATATGTTAAAATAGTTTTATTTTTACAAGTGTCATGAACATATGATCTATTATCTGCATAATTAGAATAACAGAGAGATGTATTGTTAATTTATTTCGATAAGAGTATATAAGCAATCTAGCAAGAACAAAAAATAAGAGAGCTCATTTGTCATGAAATGATGTCAATATTAACGACTGGTATCATGTTTTTTTTGTGCTTTGTCTAGTATGTCGATTCTCTACTAAGTCATATCTCATAATTAATTTAATAGAATATTATGATGAAAGAAGGATGATGAAAAGAGTTTTTCATGTGGAAATATTACTTCCTTTTTCTTCAACTAAGTTAAAACTCTCTTGAAAAATAACTTCAATAAAATTTTTTATCAACTCGGCTTATTCTTTTGAGCGAATCAGAATAAAATCGGTTTGTTTATTCAAGATATTCTCGCGTAGGATCTTTTTCTGTTCTCAATTCTTCTACATTAAAACGACAATTTATCTCATTCTCTCTCAATTGTTAGGCGAGGAAAAAAAAATTTTTTATTTGGATTGTCATTTTGTATAGTGCAATAAGTAGTTTGCTTTATTAAATATGCTTAGTATGATGGAATTAGAAGAAACTATTTGGTTAAAATAATAGGAATGTGTTGATCTTTCTAAATTAGTATCAGATATCGAAACCCTTCTCATTCTAGAGAAAATAGACTAGGTCTAAAAAAAAACAAGAAACATTCATCGAGGGTTTTGTTTGACGTCAATATTCATTAGAAAAACAAATTAATGTAGCGTTCAGATTTCATTTTTAAAAAAAGTAGTCTTTACATAATGAGATTTCTAAAATTAAAAAAGTTCGATTAAATTTTATCAAACATAATTATTTTAAAAAAATAAGAGTACGTACTTCCACATCCCTATTTTTATTTTTTTCTTCATCTTGTTTTGAGTAGCAATGTATAATAAGGAGGAAGAAAATAACTCAAAGTTTGATATAATAGCAATAATCAGTGAAGTAGATAACTTTATATTACTAAAATTCTTCCATTATTGTATTTTTTTTAGAAAAAGCTTTTAAGAGAACCTTATCTAGATACATTAGAGATAATACTCATGCTTCATTAAAAAGAAAAAAAATATGGGTTGTTCATCAACAAAAAATCTTTCATCAATAATTGGTGCTCCTTTGGAAAAACATGATCCTGTGTCAGGTCCAATTAATACATCATCTCCTCATCGGGAAACACGTTTTATTGAAAATTGTATCGTTATCTGGCTCGTTGCTTCATCAACAATAACAGCGCATAAAAATATAGCAGAAAAATTACGTCAAGTTATTAGTATATTGAAGATATTTAATAATCCTACCGAATGTATTACTTTTATTGAAAATATTCGAGAGGAAAAAGTTTTCCTCATTGTATCACCAGAAATGGAACAAGCTGTTCGAAGTGTTCATTATTTATCGCAATTAGAAAAGATCTACATTTTTTCTCTGTCTTTTCAAAAGATGGAAACTATCGACGATCAGATTATACAAACGAAAATCTTCTCGGATATTAATGATCTTTGTGAACAAATTCATCACGATGTAAAATTTTGTGAACTCGATCTTATCAATATAATTGTTGTACCTGCAGAAATTCAATCGACTACTTTTTCAGCAAAACAAGTAGCAATGTTTACCTGCATACAATTAGTTAAAAAGATTGCACTTCGTATTAAATTCGAAAGTGAACATAAAGATGTATTTCTTGATTTTTGTCGACCTTATTATGTATCAAATGAAGAACAAATGCAATATCTCGAAGATTTTGAAAATAATTATCGACCTAAAAATGTGTTATGGTGGATTACAAAGCCATGTTTCCTATCAAAAATACTTCATCGTGTTTTACGTACTTATGAAATTGATGTTATATATAAAATGGGTTTCATTGTCAGACATATACATACACAACTGACGCTTCTTCATGAAAATATTTTTTCGTTATTTACAGATCGTTCAATTGTCTATCGAGGAAAGACAATGCCCAATGATGAATTTGATATATTAATAAAGAACAATTGTGGTGGTATTCTGTCCTTTTCCAATTTCTTAACAGCTAGTATCCATAAGAAGGATGCCATGGATTTTATTCAACAACGATTGATAACACATCCAAAAATGGCAGCGATTCTTTTTGAAATATGCCTTGATTTGACAATACGAAGTACAGCAAATGTTTGTGCTATAATTAATAACTTAAATTCGAATATGAAATCAGAAGAAGGAGAAATTTGTTTTACTATGGGAACAGTATTTCGTATTCAATCAGTTGAACAAGTAATAGACAATCTAACAAATATGTGGATCGTCAAATTAACATTTGTTGATGATAATGATCAACAATTCTATCGTCTCGTTGCACCTTTACGAACTAACGATGTAGATACTAATCCACTTTCATATTTGGGTAAATTACTTATTGAAATGGGAGCAAGTGAACGTGCCGAACAATTCTATCTCGATTTACAAACAGATCCGTCTGTATTCAATCAACCACGTCGTCTTGCACGTTTACAAAATGGTCTCGGTCTTATTTTTACATATAAAGGTGACCATATGAAAGCTCTTGAACATTATCATATCTCATTGAAAACAACTTTAAGCTATATGTCACCGGATCATCCTGATCTTGCAAGTATTTACAAATCAATAGGAGATAGCTATCGAAATACTCATAATTATATTCAAGCTCTAGCAAACTATGAACATAGTGCTCAATTGTTAAAAGATGATCAACATTCTATCATCGATCTGAACGATTGTATTATTAAAACGAAACAATTACTTGAATTTAACAAACAACAATGTTAGTTTTTACTATTCTGAAAATATAGGTGTGGATGTAAAAAAAATGTAACTCATATTTATACTTTCAAATTTAATAAACGTTGTCTTATAAATTGTATTTAGTTTATCTAATGAATTGAATAGAATTATTCATTTTGAAAGGAAAATAAATAAAATAATTTTTTTATTCTTAAGGACTTTTTCAAATATCCTTGTCTTTTATCAGTATAAAAATTTGTTTTTGTTTTCGTTATTTTACTATATATATATAAGTTATTTTTATGTTTACAATTACTCATTTTCTGTTCTTCACCTTTGATAGTGTATCTTCATTATATACAACCATCAGCAATTAACTTGTCTACATAGAAAAGAAAGATACAAAATTTTCATAAATGATTTCTTTGACTGAGGACAAGATTTTTTTTT